AGTCAGCTAATACAGGCACTGAGTGTGAGTATGTGTGAGTGAGTGTGAGTGTGTGTGTGTGTGCGTGTGTGTGTGCAGTCACCAGTTAATACAGGCACTGACTGTGTGAGTATGTGTGTGTATGTATGTGTGTGTAGTCACCAGTCAGCTAATACAGGCACTGAGTGTGAGTATGTGTGAGTGAGTGTGTGTGTGTATGTGTGTGTGTGTGTGTGCAGTCACCAGTTAATACAGGCACTGAGTGTGAGTGTGTGTGTGTGTGTATGTGTGCAGTCACCAATCAGCTAACACAGGCACTGAGTGTGCATATACTCACCAGTTGGCTAATACAAAAATTCTGTGTATAGTCACCAATCAACTAATACAGGACTGTGTGTGGGTGTGCGGGTGTTTAGCTACCAATAATGAATGATGCTGCCTAGCATTTTGAATATTTGGGTTTTGTTTTATTTTATGACTGGCCTCGAATCCTAATCCTGTGGCCTCAGCCTTCTGAGTGCTGGAATGACAGGCAAGTGCCACCATGCCCAGCCTTGCTCTTTCAAGTTCTCCAGAACTGGTGATGGCTGGTGTCTGTCCTGCTTTAAATATTCAACAGTACCATTTTAACCAACGCTCTGGGACATTCCCTACATTCTCCAGAAATAATAATCCTTTGATAAAGTGACAAAGATAGCTTGGTCCTACCATAAAAAAAGACAGGTAGACCAATGGCATAGAATAAAGGATCTGAAAATAATGACAAAGCTAGGTACATTTAAATTTTTTCCCACAGAGGTGAAAACTTACATAGGAAAAAAGATAGCTGTTCAACAAACGGTGCTGGCAAAACCAGTTATCTGCCTGAAGGGTGAAATCAGATTCTTATCTTTCACCTTGTACAAAAAAATCAACCCAAAAATGAACATAGACCTTAATCCAAAACCTTAAGTGCTGAAACTTCTAGGAAAACACACACACACACACACACACACACACACAGGAACTACTCTTCAAAACAATGGGATAGGCAAGAACCTTTTGATTAGAACTCCAATTGCACAGGAACTGGCAGTACCAAACACAGGACCAAGTGTCAACAGATGGACCACATGAAACTCAAAACCTTCTGTACAGCAAGGGAAATAACAAGCAGCTGAACATACAACACAGCCACAGGGTGGGAGAAAATCTTTATCAGCCGCATTGCAGGCAGGGACTCACACCCAGAACTTACAAAGAACTGCAGAAATCAAATACCACAGAGTGAACTACCAATAAAGAAAAAGGAATCATAGGAGGAGATGAGAGAGGAAGGGTGGGATTGGGAGGGGAGGAGGGAGGGGGCTACAACTGGGATACAAAGTAAATAAACTAATTAATATTAAAAAAAATGTAATTAAAAAAAAAAAAGAAAAAGGAATCAACAGACAGTTTTCAAAGGAACCTTAGCCCTAGGAGGAGGCTTCTCTGGTGCTGTGCCACAATCCTCCCAGTCTCTATTTTCACGTCTCTGGGTTCAGTTACCCACTGCCAACTGCAGACTGAGAGCATTAAATGGAACTTTTCAGAAATAGTTCCTAGGTTTTAAATTGTGCATTCTTTCATTTATAATTTGTGTGCTTATTTGCTGTTTTCTGAGACAGTGTCAGAGACGCACTATATAGCCTAAGTTGGCCTTGAACCTACAACCCCCTACTTCACTCTTTCAAGTGCTAGAATTACAGGTGTGCCACCACACCCAGCAACTGCATCATCCTGAGTAGATGACACAATTGTGAACAGGATGTGAGTCATCAATTTAGTCAGCATATCCACCCTGCACACACTACCCACCCACTTGTCTTTGGCAGCTCTGGCTGTTGTCAAGACTCCCTCTTGCAGTACAGCAGTGCTTCTGTTCACCTGGCCCTTATTTTACTTAAGAGAGGCCCCAAAGCACGAGAGAGGGAGGACATGCCTGAGAGCCATCATGAAGTGCTTTCTGGGTAGAAAATGGAAACATTCTCTACTCACTAAGAAAAAAGCCATACACAGAAGCTGCTGAGATCTGCAGTCAGAACACGTCTCCTATCCATAAAATGATGAAAAAGGAAAAAATAAATGAATACTAGTGTTCCTGTCACACCATGAATTGCACAAGTTACAGTGACTGTGGATGAGAGAGTGCTATCATCCACCCCATTCCATCTTGTCACACGGGTCTGTGCCACCTGATATCGGCACAAAAAGGGTGAGTAGTTACATGTTAAGACACACTGATACAGGAAACCACTCATATAACTCTCATTATTGAGTGCTGCTATATTACTCCATTACTAGATGTCAATGTTAATCTCTTACCTTTCATAACTTACAAATTAATCTTCCTCAGAGGACTGGCAGAATAGGAAAACCCCACTCTATGTACAGGGTGTGTGGTTAGTGTTATCCATAGTTTCAGACATCTCCTGGGGTCTTGAAATCATACACAAATACACAAACACAAACACACACACACACCTAAAAAGCCTGGGCAAACAAAAACAAACTTTGTCCAAACACCTGTCTCCCTAAGCAGAGCCCAAGAATATTTATAGGAAAGCAAAGCTACCCAGAAGCTGCTTGAGATGTAGCTCAGCAGTAGATGTCACTGGGCGTGCATGAAGACCCAGGTGCTATCCCTGGAATGGACAACAGAAAACCAGAGAGAAGACATTTTAAAAACAGAGAAAATAAATGCATTATGTATCGGGAAAAGTAAAATGAGTTATTTGGTAAAATTCCATTTCACATAAAATTCTAGAACATACAAACAGATGTGTGCTAACATAATGGTGTCTCAGAATGGTTGGAATACTAAAAATGACAGGAGACAAGAACTCAAAAAGTAAGCAAGGAACTGGACAGACCCCTTGGCAGTTAAGAGCACTGGATGCTCTTCCATAGGACCTGGGTTCAATTCCCAGCATCCACATGATAGTTCACAACCATCTGTAGCTCCAGTTCCTGGGGGTCTGTCTCTTCTGACATTCATGGGCACCAGTACGTACCTGGCACACACCAAGGAAAATACCTATACACATACAAATACAACCTTTTTTTAAAAAATACTTTTAAAGAAAAAGTTCAAAGGTATTTTAGGAGATATTTATTCTTGATTGTGCTCATGTTTTAGGGCTGCATTCGTACATCAGAACTTACCAAACTAGATGTTTGAGTGTGTAGTTTACCAACATTATCCCTGTGATGTCAAAGAGGAAAAGATCACCTGTCACACATGAGAAATAGCCATTCCAAGTTTCTAACAGAGCCCTGTGTGGGAAGCTCATACTAGGAAATGAAAAGGCCTTTCTTCAAAGCCCTTTTCTCAAAGTAATAATGTTTAAAAGCAGGAACTACAACATTTGAACAAAGACTTTTCCCAGAGGCAGGCTTCCATTAGTCAAGCTGACTGACGAGAGGGGCAGGGACGCCACTCGAGGCTTAATCCATACATACTGCAACAGGCATCCCCCCCTCCCCTGCTGCTCTCCTAAGTCTGTTCCCATCAAGCCTCCTGGGCCAGGGGGCCAAGGCAGAGGACCCGGCTCACCTGGTGCAGTGCTGGAAGAACTGCTGTTCCTAGGTCTTGGTCTCTGATAGGCCTCTCCTCAAGGCTGGCAGGAAGCTGGGAAGCAGCCAGAGCTATGGCAAAGAATAAGAGGCCTTCAAAAATCCAGATGTCTCCCTTAACTGCTCCCCAGGGGTCACCATGAAATTCTTCGCAAATTAGAACAGTTTGCAGTGTCAAATTCAAAGGCTCCTGTTTACCTCCTAACAGCTACGAGCCCCTCCAAACTTCCAAACAGTCTTACCCACGTTTCTTCCAGCTCCCTCCAAAGAACCAAAACCCAAATGGTATGGCCGACCGCAGAATGGTTTATAATACAGACTCTGGTCATGTCCACACCTTCTGGACACATTGTTTCTTTCAGCATACAGTAGCCCCCAAAGTTCCACCAGAGACCACCACATAGCACAACAGACAACTGCCCCTCACCTAATTCTGGCTCCGTGTCTGATTCCTCTTTCACGCCATGGCTCAGTAGGTCCCCAGATGCTGGAGGTGAATTCTGAAGGGGCAGGTCCTGGGGCACCACATCCAGGAGGGGCTCTACCTTGTCCCCTTGGCAGGGTGTGGCATTCTCCTTCTCGGACGGGGTCTCTTGTCCTAGAACTTGGATGCTGATCTGGACACCAAACAGCAGTAATTACCAAAAGATGCAGAGTCAGGATTGCTGAGAGTTAATGAATTGGCCTTCTACAACAGACCCCATGAGATAAACAGTCTTATGGCCATGGGACAAAAGAGAAAACCCCTTTTGAACCCAGGAAAAAAGAAAATACCAGAAGCTGAGGCCTGAACCAAGTCATGCTGCTAATATTCTGGTCTCCTAGACAGCCTCCAACAGTTAAAACTCAAGGCTGCTTTTTAGCAAATCAAAATTCCTAAGGTGGTATAGGCAGAGACTAAGCCATAAAACTATGTAAGATATGAGAAGACCCAGATTTGATGTAAGCAGTATGTACTGTGGCCTTTGTTTTCAGTTCTGGGGAGAGCTCCTTGAGCCTCTTTAGCACAGGAATCTTTCATTATGTGTAATGCAGACTTTTCACCCACCTCTGAGCCTATGTTGGGCAGCCAACTCTTGGTGGCCCTGAAATAGCTTCAGGATGGAATCTTGCTGCCAGAACTAGCAATCATGGAATTCCAGGCCTAAAACTTTTAGCCGACCCTACTCCAAGTCTAGGGAAGGGAGTGGGACAAGAGTCATTCAACTACTGATGGCAAGTAAGTTAAGCAATTGTACCAGCATGGTGAGACCCCCAGAAAAAATATCTAAACAATGGCGTTCTTGAGGGGCCGGTTGGTGAACTCACTGAGGTTCTGAGATAGCCGCACACTGAGAGAGGATGGGGAGCACCCTGCATCTCTCTTCCATTTGTCTACTTGTGAGGTTCACTCTACATCATAAGCTGGTAAGAGTAATGAAGGTATGTTCCTGGGTCCTGTAAGTCACCAATCATCAAATGGACCACCAGTTTGTTAAGACACGTTATCTGTGGCATTTGTGAATGGCATCTGAAGTGCAAGAGCTGCTCTGTGTGGCTGGTCTCTGGTCCTGTGCAGACAGTTGTCTGAACATGACTGGCGTGCTGATACTTGGTTTATATCAGAGAATCAAAGGACTGGTTGTTGGTTTGGAAACTACATATTTGGGATCATAACAACTATCACGAAAAAAAAAAATTGGAAAAGAAAATAAATCAGAACAGTCACAGAGGAACTTGAGCTTTACTCACAGACAAGCTACTCTGCTTACCCACTGCCACAGTCTCCAAGGATCTCCCTTCAAGCTTTCCACGAGGGTCACTGCCTCCTCTCCACTGCCTGGACACTGCTTCCTCACCCATGTCTGGATCTCGCCAGGGAGAATGGTCAGAAACTGCTCCAGCATGAGGATCTCCAGGATCTGCTCTTTGGTGTGAACCTCTGGCCGGAGCCACTGGAAACAGAGCCTCCGAAGCTGTCTCAGGGTCTCCTGGGGCCCAGACATCACCTGGTAACGAAACTGCCTGAAAAGCTGCCGAGCGGTCTCGGGGTTGGCGAGCTCTCTTGGCTGGGTAGCATCTGATCCAGAACATGTGGAATCCTCTGCCTTGGCTAGAGAAGGCAGCAGGCCTAGGGCCTGTCCCAAGTCAACAGGCATCGTCTGGCTTCACGGGGCCTTTTAGGTGAGTGGCTTCCAGGATGGAGCTGTCTCTGGAGAGGACTGTGTCTTCAAGGGATGCTGAAGAATGACACCCACTGCTGTACAAGAACACACATGAGCAGAACAATACGTGTGACTGCCCCCCCCCCCCCCCGGAAAGCCTGCAGGCTTAACTGTTCAATGTGTACACAGTTCTAGTTTAAGAGGCTATGACACAAAATACACCTTTCCCCTGTCCCTATTCATATTCTGCACTGATCATCAAATGTCCAGAGACTCTATGGAAGAATGTACTAAATAGGTAGGCATGGTGTAATCTTAGCACTTAGGCTGAGGGAAGAAGTTGTTGAGTTTGAGGCCAATCTTGGCTATATAACAAGTTCAAGGTACATCTCAGATATGTAGCAAGACCCTATTTCAAAAAAGAAAGAGGCTGGCACACTTAAGTTTGATCCCCAGAGCCCATGGAATGAGAGAATCATTTCCAAAGGTTCTTCTCTGACCTCCATACCGCACTGTCTTGTGTACATCAGTGTCCACACATACACAATAATAAATCTTAAAACTTTTAAAAAGAAAATCATGAAAGAAATGCACACATGAAATCAATTCACTATGAATTCCCAAGTAAACACATACTTCTGTATCTATGTACCTGTAACCTAACACATAATGCTAGTTGGGGTTGGGGCTATAGCTCAGAGTAGAGTGCCTACCTAGCATGAACAAAGTCCTAGGTTCAATCCCTAGCATCTTTAAATTGGCATGTGACTCATGTCAAGTGACTCATGACTGCAATATCAGCACTTAGGAGGTGGAAACAAGATCAGTGGTTCAAGGTCATCCTCAGTTACAGTGTGAGTTTAAGACCAACCTGGATATGTGAGACCCTGTCTCAAAGTAAGACTAAATAGATTAGATAGACACACAGATACACAGACAGACAGACAGACAGACGAGAACAAGAGCTATCAGTGCCCTAGGAATACAGGCTAATATTGAATATGCTTCCATAACAGATGCACAGGTCTCCTTTACTATGGACTCCTATCTCAACATACCATGTTATCACAAGGCTAATACAACAGGGCCAAGAGAGCAAAGACCAAAGGCTATAGTTTCAACTCTAGGCCAAAATAAACCCCTCCTTCTTATGCCTTGTTTATCTCAGGTATTTTGTTACAATGGCACAAGCTAACTAACACAGCAAATGATTTAGAAGACAGCAAATGAGGCAGTGAAAAGGGAAACAGTAAGTGCCAAAGTTATTATTAAAGTGTTTTCAAAGGATCATTTTTTCTGCTAATAGCTGACTTTACTACAGGTGCTCATAATAGTGGGTCACTGGACTGACCCTTAAAATGTCATGAAGGAAGGAACGATCACCATTTCTTTATAACACTAATGGCACATGCATGAGCACATGTACACACATGTATGTACAATGATACACCATATACACATATATGAAAACACATTAAATTAAAAGGACAAGAGGGAGGAGGACGGAAAGGAGGGAGGGAGGAGAGAGGGAACAGTAGAAAGGAGGGAGAAAGGGGAGAAAAGAAAGATAACTGTAACATTCAAAAACCTTTTTCCCAAGGATGCAAAAAGGAGAGGTAAGAACTTAATGGGGTATGTTTTTCATGTGGCCTTCAATAAGTTTATGGGTTTATTTTTTTACTTTTGTTCTTGCTTTAAAGAGCCTGTACACTTCGTTCATATACTCAGGTAGTACTCAGTACTACCACTGCAAAAGTGAAAAATATGTATGGGGGGGATACCATTTATGGCCCTAGCAAAACAAGTGATTGATAATATCAACTGGTCGGCCAGCTACAACCAACTCCCAAACTGGAGAAAACATGTAAAACAGCCAGTTTCAAGCATTCCATGCAGCAGGTGAGAATGCAGTCCCGAGAGAGACTGCTGAGGTAAGCCATGAACACATTGGCTGGCTACGTGAGAACAACTTAGCCACAGCGCAGGAAGCTCAGTTCAACTGGAGTAGTACTGAGGTGACAAGCACAAAGCCAAAAGCTGTTGGAGTGACTCTACTCCGATGATCATGGCAAGGAGGAACTTTGGGCATTGGGACCGATGTCTGTATCGGGTATACCCTAAGCCCAGGAACAGGCTTGAGACTGCTTATTACCAGAATGAGATACCAAAGTTTAACACAGAGCAGAACACACACAAAAGGCCAGTCAGGAATGGGGCACTGGAATTTTTAATAACTCTAGCACGCCAGGGCTACACAATGAAACCCTGTCTCAAAAAACCAGGAAGAGTGACAAGCACACTCTCACCTGCCCTAGCAAAACCTCAACCAAGGTGCTACCAGATCCACGGTAGCAGTTTTGTTCCATCAAATGGGAAAGCTGTGGGGAAGCACCCCGCTCCTTCCAACACGTGCTCCAGCTAAGTGTAAAATGAAGCCTAGAGTGAGCAAACTGCCTGCTCCAACAGACAGCAACGTTCCTCAACAAGATAACTGGCCCTCAGCACCACTAATGCCCCACTGTAAGAGTGAGAATGTATCCCAAGATTACTAGGTACACAAGTAAGTAGGAAAACGACACAAAGGCAAGAAAAAGAACAACTTTTTCTTGTTGTCAACAAAAAACAACTCGAAGATGGTCAAGACCTTAGAGAAAAACTACTCTAAGTCCAGCATAAAAATCCTTCAAAAATTAAAATTAAAATACACAGTTTACATGGGACTAGATAGAATGAGTACCTAGAGTGCATAAGGCTCTGGGCTCAATCCACAAACCTTAAATCATGCATAAAAATATACACACACCACCCACATACACACCACATACCACACACACACACCGCACATGTGCCACAGACACACAGTCATGCAAGCACACACACCACAGCATGCACACATGCACACAGAGTCATGAACAGATTTTTCAAAAGAATCAGGAAAACTTGTCACCACTGAGGATGTGCTACAAGAATAAAGGGCATTCGTTCCTCCAACTGCTCGAAAACTCAGATCTTCAGAAAAAAATAAAAAGAGGCAAAACAGGTTGATATGTGGTGAATACAAATACTATACTATTTTCTTCTGATAACTTCCTTAAAAGGTGAATGGGTGCTGATGAGACGGCTCAGCGGGTCAACTGACTTGCTGCCAAGCCTGACAACCCGGGTTGGCTCCCTGGGACCCCACGGTGGAAGGAGAGAATGAATTCTGTAAATTGTGCTCTGACCACCACACATGTATATGTGTATATCCACATACATGTACAATAAGTACAAATGTAATTTAAATTTTTAAAAACAGTATAAGAAATATTAAAATTGCATGGGGGAGCACACACTTAATGAATCTGTTGTGTCAATATATTTGTGACTTGCCAAATCACAAAAGGAAAAAGGAAGCTATGGATGGGGAGGAGGGTGCCAGACAAGAAATGAGGAGCGCTAACTGAGGTGTAAGAAACGGCAGACCTGAACTGGGTTTGCCGTCTGGGTAAATGGTGCAATGACAAAGGAGACCCTACTCACAGTTTACGGATGTGTAGCGTTAACATTGGCTGCTCTTCCAGAGGGCCCACGTTCAATACTCAGCACCCACAGTGATCCACAGCCATCCTCTGCTAGCACCGGCACACACAAAGGGGCACAGATGCACATGCAAGCAAAAACTCTTACACACATAAAAAATAAATAACTTATTTTAAAAAATAAAGAAAACCCGGAAATGTCATAGGAAATGAAAACTAATTTTAAAAATGTATGGAAAACCAGACGACATAGTAAAGCCCAACCACATCAAAAACTACATTAAATGTAAAAGGAATGAAGGCTCAAACTACAAGATAGCGCTTTCAGATATTAAGAAGCAAGGCACAGCCAGATGCTACCTGAAAAAGACATTTCAGATCTAAAGCTACAATAGCCTGACATGTCACTAAGTGGTTAAAACACTTGAATGCCTGTATATAATCCTGGCTTCCAGCCCTAGCACCACAGATATTAACTCGTTAGGTAGAAAAAAAATAATTTAAAAATTAAATTATATTCTACATGAATATATTTTTATTTAAATTACACTGTAGTTGAAGAACACATACTTGAAGTTTTCAGTTGTGTAAAACTTGTGCCTAGGATTTATTTTGATTAGTATTTTTTATGTGCTTGAATTGAACATACTGCAGCTGTCAGGTCTAATTTTGATTGCTTCTGCTCTAAGGTGGCAGAGTATATGAAAATAGAATATAGCATAAACTTATGAGACTCGACACGGCTACTTTAGTATATTGGTCAAGCTGACTGAAGACTTCGTTTCTATTGCTATGATGAAACACTGTGACCAAAAGCACCTCTGGAGAAACGGGTTTCATGAACACTTTCCACCTAACAGTCCGTCATGGAAAGTAGTCAGGACAAGAACCCAAACAAGAGAAGAACCGGGAGGCAGAAGCTGATGCAGAGGCCATGCAGGACTGCCTACTGGCTTGCTCAGCCTGCTTCCGTTTAAAACCCAGAACCAATAGCCTAAGGATTGCACCACTCACAACAGGCTGGACCTCCCCTCATCACTAATTAAGAAAATGCCCTACAGGCTTGCCTACAGCCCTATCTTAGTGGAGGGAATGTCTCTTAGTGGAGGTCTCCTCCCCTCAAGTGACTATAACTTATGCCAACTTGACATAAAACTAGCCAGCACAAAAAAAAGGAGGGGGGTGGTCATTTTATTTTGAGAAACATGTTGAATCATCAATAATAAGTAGTATGGCTATAACAGTATTGACAAAAGGGAAAATAGAGGGTATGTCATTAAGACAGATGGGTCAGATCATATAGAACATATAACCCAAAGTGTACACACACCTAGTATCAATTTTTGTTGCTGTTTTAGTGAGGGGGGTTAGGGTGTGTGTACATTTGAGGTGATTGATGTTTTGATATAGGGTCTGTCTCTGTAGCCCAGGCTGGCCTGGAATGTAACTGCATTGCATGCATCAGCCTCCCAAACGCTAGTATTACAGCAGTGAGGTGCTATGCCTGACTTCTATGAACCAATGCTAAACCCCCTCCCCTGGCAGTATGCTTAATTCAATTCCATAAGAAACACAGAAAAAAACAAACCATGTATACACATACAACTGGGAACTTCATGAATGTATTCTGTAACCACAGTGTCCTATGTCCTAGTTAGGGTTACTAGAGCTATTATTATGATGAAACACACAACCAAAAGCAAGTTGGAAAGGAAACGGTTTATTTGGCTTACACTTCCACATCATAGTCTGTCAATGAAGGAGGTCAGGACAAGAACTCAAGCAGGCCTAGAACCTGGAGGCTGGAGCTGATGCAGAGGCCATGGAGGAGCATTGCAGACTAGCTTGCTACTCTTGGCCTACTCAGCCTGCTTTCTTTTAGAACACAAGACCACCAGCCCAGGGTGGCACAACCTACAACGGGCCGGGCCCACCCCCATCTATCACTAAGAAAATGCCCTACAGCCGGATCATAAGGAGGCATTTTCTCAACTGAGGTTCCCTCCTTTCAGATGACACTAGCTTGTGTCAACCTGACATAAACTACCCAGCACAGGTGACTCCTTGACAACCTGACAAACAGATCACTGTTACAGAATAACCTTTCCTTTCTTGTTCATCCTCAGGATCAACATGAGCACCAATACAAACACTCCAAATCTCAAAAGTTTCAGTCTTTAAGAATCCCTACACTTGGGACTGGAGAGATGGCTCAGCGGTTAAGAGCTCTTCCAAAGGACAGGGGTTCAATTCCCAGTACCCACACAACTGTGTATAATGCTCATTCCAAAGAATCTGACACCTTCACACTTTTTATTTTAATGCACATAAAATAAAGTTAAATAAATTATTAAAAAAAGAATTCCAACACTTAAAAACACAATCTCTTTAAAATATTCAATCTCTTAAAATCCAACGTCTTTCTAAAATTCCAAAGTATCTTATAAAAGTTCAGTCTCTCAAGTATGGGCTCCTGTAAAGCAAAAAATAAGCTAAGTGCTTTCTTGCTTCAAGAGGGAAGAACCAGGGCAGTTACAATCAAATTAAAGTAAAAACAAACTCCAACTGTGTAAATAACTCAATGTCCAAGGTCTGGGATCCACTCACCATCTTCTGGGCTTCTCTAACTCTGCAGCACGCACAGACTCGAATTGGCTCCACCCGGCTCCACTCCACAGCTGCTGCTAGTCTTGGTGATTGTCCCAAGAACAACTGGGCTGCACTTTCACCAGTAGCCTCCCCTAGACTCTCTTCATGAGACCAAGCCTCAACTTCTCTCCATGGCCCTTTCATGCCTTCAAAACTAGTGCCACCTAGGCGATTCTTTCACTACCAGTTTCAGCGGCCAACACGAGGCACAACCTTAGGTCACCTCTGGAACACAGCTTCTGTGTGCTGGCTCTAAGAAAACACTTTCCAGAAAATTTCACATCAGTGATACATGTCTTTTTTTAATCACTACTAATTTCTTAGCTCCAGCTGACCAAAAAAGATTTTACTTTTTTGGTTCGAATCTCTTATTAATCACAGCTGATTCTTCAGCCCCTAACCAGAACCTCAGAGTCTTAACTGAAAATATGCAACAGCCTCCACAGTGTTTAAGGGACTCTCAAACTTTTTTTCTGGATCTTCAGAAGCCCAGGCTTCTGTTCTCTCCACACTCTATCTTTCCACAGAACACCTCACCAAAGCTCTGAACACTCAATGGCTTTTCTAGCCCAAAGTTCCAAAGTCCTTCCACATACTCCCTGAAACATGTCAGGTCTGTCAAAGCCAATACCCTGCTATGCTGGTATCAATTTCTGTCCTAGTTAGGATTACTACTGCTATGAAGAAACACCATGACCAAAAGCAAGATCTTAAGAAGGCATTTTCTCTATTGAGGTTCTCTCCTTTCAGGTGACTCTAGCTTGTGTCAACCTGACATAAAACTTGCCAGCAAACAGTGAAATTAAATTAGAAATCAACACCAATAAGGGATCTTGAAATATTAATTTGTAGAAATTAGTAATCAGTAGTCAAAAGACATCACAATGGAAATTAAGATATATTTTCAAACAAAATGATCATGAATCAGTTATCAAACTTTGTGAGCTTAGAACAGCAGCTCAAAACCTGTGGGTCGCAACCCCTGGAAATTCGAACAAGCCGGGGTCGCCTAAGATCATAGGAAAACACAGATATGCACATTTATGATTCATAACAGTAGCAAAATTACAGCTATGAAGTAGCAAGGAAAATAATTTTATGGTTGGGGGTCATCACATTGAAACAAACTGTGTTAAAGGGTCGCAGCACTAGGAAGGAGGGGGGAAACGTTCAAAGAATACTGTTTTAGAAATGATACATGCAAAATTCTTCACTATCTGAACCAACTTTTCCTGAGTTTTAGAAACATAATAGAGTTTCAAGCAGCAAAATTTCCACCTGTGGGCTGAGTGAGTTAATGCCTAAAACTAATCTGGAGAATGAATAATATTCAGGAAACAGTATTCCGGGAACACTAAACCTTACATATTTAAATCTTCCGATCTAACACTACTTGTTCTGCGCAGTAAAGGCCGAGTGCTAAGGTAGCCCGCAGGCATTTATTTCTGAGAAGACGCCCATCTACTCAAAATTAACTTACTTTATAGGGACTTCTGGATTTTTACCCTGAAGGGGATTCCCTTCTCCCTCCTCACAGAAGGAACTCACCATCATCGGTTACGTTTGTACCACTGACGCTTCAACATATCGAAATGGAATGCGCATCTAGGTCAGCGTTCTCCTGTACACACGTAAAATACACACACACGAGGTTGCACCCGTAGGTAGCCCTTTTGTTTACCAGCTCACAGTAGGCTTTGCTCGAGCTACAGCTGACCTTCCCGGCCTCCCAATAGGACAAGTATTAAAAAGTATCTGATTGCTCCAGGGCTCCCAAACAGCAATCGTTCAAGGCCCGGAAGCCCCAGGGCAGGACTTTTGGGAGGCTGCGGGGCGCGTCTAGGGTTGTCACTGAGGGCGGGGTAGCCAGCGGCTGGACCCCCGGCGATGTGCCACCCCCGGGGGCCTGCCCGTCCGGACCCCTCTCCCGGCGCGGGCAACCCGGAAGAGCCCACAGCCCACCCTCCATTCCGCCCCGTCCCCTCCCCCGCAGGCGCCCGCCGCGGGCGAGCGCTCCGGGCGCGGGGCCGAGGCCGCCGTCCCCGCCGCAGCTCGCTCCCGACAGCTCGCGGGCCGGAGCGACCGCGGGCCTGACCCCAGGAGTCGGGGACCCCGCCCGTCCGCCCGCCCAGCCCGCGCGCTTACCTCGGCCCCAGCCGCCCGCTCCGCCGCACTTCCGGAAGCCGGACAGGCGCGCGCCGCCGCGGCCCTGGCGACGCGCGGCCCCGCGCCGGGAGAGGGGCGGGGCAAGAGAGGGGCGTTCCCGAGCCCGGCTTTCCCATTGGTTCCCGAGAAGCGCCACGCCTCACGGCCCGCCTCCCGGAGGAGGGGCTGCGAGCTCGCCCGTCGGACCGCCGCTCCCGCCGCCCGCTCTTCTATCCCGGGCAGCGGCCGCTAAGCGGCCACGACGTTTTCAGGCCGTCGTGCGCTGGGCCACAGCTGCCACTAAGCCTGGTTTGACCGAAGCCTCGTGTCCAAATGCAGGTATTCGGTCCTGAGTAAGTGAGGTTCGGGACAGCGTCAGTAAAGGGATGTGTTCTCCCTGCCCATTGGTTAAAAGCGTTGGCGTCTCCGAAGGAACACGACGGGGGCGGTGGAAGCCTGAAAAACTGATCACCGGGAAAGGTATTCGGTGTGTCCTCGAAGTCCTAGGCGCTGGAAGGATCGCAGCTCGTGAGAAAGCATTTCGCAGTGCTGGCTAAAGCAATCGTTAGCTCAGACGTCAGACACACACGAAGTTGACAAGTACTAGCCTGGCAGAGGCGGGAGTGTCTATCACAGGAGAGCTTGGCTGACCGACCAGACATTTAACTGGAGACCCGCCCTGCAGGTTATTTTCAATTCCCAGGAACTCCCAAGATCCAGTGGTTTGGTCGGGACCTTGGTAAGGTTCCTGTTCAATGCGTCAGGCTTTCGTTGAACAATACTCAAGGAAGATCAGAGTAACTTAGAGTCTTGAATTGTGCAATACACCTATGAGAATCTGATGGAAGCTGAGGCTTTTCCCACGAGAAATACGAAGACATGGCTACACACAACATTTTGTTCTGAAGTTCAGGGAGCAAATAGAGGCAACGAAGGAATCCACAAACCTCAAGTTGACAGTTCTAAAAGGATTTCCCTTTAGCTATTTATTATTATTATTATTATTATTATTATTATTATTACATTTGAAAAGAGGCATGACACTTTTGAACAAACTAAACAAACATTTTAAAGATAGGAAGACATCGAACTTAGCTGAGAAAATAATAAAAAAATACCATCTATTTTTATTTACTTCATAAATATTTACCAGCTGCCTTGTCTGTGCCCAATGCTATTCCATTCGCTAGGGATATAGCAGTGAACTACATTTACCACTCTCTGATAGAACACTATTTTGTGAAGAAAGCTGAACAATAGATAAATAAATGCACAGGTAATAAGTATGTTGGGTAATGATGAGCGGAGAAAATTAGGTGAGACGGGTAGTAATGGAGTTAGGCTGCAGTTTATGTAGGATGTTTAAGGGAGGACTAAGACAGATAAGACAACCTTGAATTGAGACCAGAAGTCAAGGAGCAAACCCTGTGTACAGGGGAAGTTTTCCAGGCAGAGGAAATAGCAAATGTCTAAACCCTGAGATAATAAGTGAAAATAAAGAAGTATGAGGTCTAAGCCCTCGACCACAGCAACAAATAGTTCCTATAAAGAGCATTTAACAAGGGAAGAGAGGGAGTGTCCAACAAGGTGATAGAGTGTGTTTCTAACATGCAGGAAAGCTAGCTTCCCCAGGACTGAGTATACTGGACTGCGGTTGGCTCCTGTGTTGAGCAGTCTTGGGAGACTGTTATGAGGGAAGGGGAGGTCCTTGTGGAAACAGGTGAAGTCAAGGCCAGCTTGACTTAGGCTACGTGGGACCCTTTCTCAAAAAACAAACCAAACGAACAAACAAACAAAAAACCCAATATTTGTGTTTGTTCTAAACCTACTGGAACAGACAAATTGACATGCACTGAGTTTATGAATGTAAGTTTGTGAATTATAGTACCTGGTTTTAACTAAACCCTAACAAAATGTGCATGTAGTGTTAAAAGTTCCCATTGTAGTAATGTCAGGTTAAAGATGCGAGATACATGTAAAGGTAAAGAAGAACATGGCAGAACTCCATTTCTATTTTTGTTATTGTAACCCACTTCTGACCTTCCTGCTTTTACCTCCAAGGGCTAAGATTACAGTCATGTATGACCACAGGCAGTTTTGTGCAGTATGAAGTTGGAAGGCAGACATTATACACACACACATATATCATGTATTACATCATATATGCATATATGTGGTATGCATGTGTGTGTGCGTGGTATGTCCCTGTGCCAAGGAGGTCCTCCATACCTGTGTGTATGGAGGTCAGAAGTCAACTTTACGGAGTCAGTTCTCTCCTCCCGCCATGTAGGTTCCATGATTAAGCTCAGGCATTGTTACTCACTGAGTCATCTTGCCGGCTTGGAGCCTAGGATTTAGTACATGCTAGTCAAGCACTCTACCAATGGAGCCCTACCCCCAGACCCCAAAGTACTTTCATAATCAAATTCTTTACACAAATGGTAGACTCAATGGCAATGCTAACTCAATCGGATATGACCAAGAGGCTAGAAAATACATATGTGATACATACATGTATGTATATGTATATATATATATATAGTGTGTATGTGTAACTTATACATACAGATAATCTATGTAAAGATATGTGTGCATATTGTGCTTATATGTGGCTCTCTAGGACATGAAAAAAAACCTTTTTAGCAGTTTGCAGTCATACAACACTCTTATCATGTACTTTATGAAATGTTATTAAACCTACCGGAAAAATGCTTGGAAGCCTCTGTTTGGGTCCTAATAGGCAAAACAGCATTTAAAATGTTCCATATGAACTATTTTAGTGCTTTCACTGTGAGACCATTGGTTAAAAATATTAAAAATGGAAACTACATGATGATTAGTTTTCAAGAGCCACTGACTCACATGAGGGGCTGTGGAAATTAATAGTTACAGATGATATTAAAAATAAATATGTGGCCAATAATGTAACTTATCCATTTGGAGTTTATGTGAAGTATATTTTGTTGTTTTACACTGACAATGGTTAAAACCATCAAAAATAAACTAAGCTTAGAAGGAGACCTTTAAAATCTCCATATTCCAGAATAGCAATCAGTATTTGCTCAAATTCAGTGTCCATTATATTTTAATACAATTTTATTTAAAAGGTAAGATGTGTATTTTAAAATATTTTTCATTGTTACCTCTTCCTTTCTTTTTTGCATATTTCATAGCATTTATAAGTACAGGGGACAAGATAATGACTAGTTTAATTTTAAAACATCTTAACTGATTGAAACTGCTTGAACAAAATGTACAGAGCCTCTGTTCTAATTCAATCCTGGCCATGCAGCATTCAGTCAAAGCAGGTTAAAACCGTGTTCTTTATGCCTCTTCCCAAACTGGAGTCTCTCAGAGACAGAGCCCGCAACTGGATCTTTAATTTTTTTTTATTAATTACACTTTATTTACTTTGTATCCCCTCTGTAGTTCTGTCCCTCCTCCCCTTCCAATTCTTCCCTTCCTCCCCTTCTCCACACATGCCCCTCGCCAAGTCCACTGGTAGGGGAGGTCTTCTTTTTTCTTCCTTCTGATCCTAGTCTATCAGGTCTCATCAGGAGTGGCTGTATTGTCTTCCTCTGTGGCCTGGTAAGGCTGCTGCCCGCTCAGGGGGAGGTGAGCAAAGAGCAGGCCAATCAGTTCATGTCAGAGACAGTCCCTGTTCCCATTACTACAAAACCCACTTGGACACTGAACTGCCATGGGCTACATCTGTGCAGGGGTTCTAGGTTATCTCCATGCATGCTACTTGGTTGGAGTATGAGTCTCAGAGAAGACCCCCGTGCTCAGATTTTTTGGTACTGTTGCTCTCCTTGTGGGGCTTCTGTCCTCTCCAGATCTTACTATCTCCCCTTCTTTCCTAAGATTCCCTGCGCTCTGCCCGAAGGTTGGCCACACGTTTCCATGCAGTTCTGTGGTCGCTGATTTGCGGAGCAATGCAACAACTCACGATTTTAAACTCCTGTCACAGGGAGCTGGAGAGTTGGCTCTGGTCAAGAACACACCCTGCCTGCTCCTGCAGGGTACCGGAGCTCATGTCCTAACACCAACCTGGGATGGCTCATGAGGGCCTGTTAACTCCAGCTTCAGGGGATCTGAGGCTTCTTCACACTGAGGGCACCCTCAAAGGCATGCACAAACACATTCACACATGCAGGTACACGTACATTAAAAAAGAACTGTTATCTCAGTCTTCAGAAGACAAACAGATGTGCTCATTTGCAGTGTTGGGTGATTTTTATCTATTGCGATAAATACCCAAGATAACACATAAAAGAAAGAAATATTTGGTTTGTAGTTTTGGGTTTGTTTCAGTCCATCGTGGTTTGCCTTTAGCTTTAGAGCTTGTGGTATGTTAGCACTTCCTGGCAGAAGTGCGTGGAGAAGGAAACTACGTCTTATGTCACGGAAATAAAAGGGAGATATGGTAGGGTCCACTATTCCATTCAAAGTCACACCCCTTTAGGGGCTGGATAGATGGCTGACCCAGTGGTTAAGAGAACTCACTGCTCTTCCTGAGGACCAGGGTTCAATTCCCAGCAGCCACATACTGACTCAAAAAGGAGCTCCAGAGGATCCACTACCCTCTTCTGATCCTCACTACCCTCCAGACATGCACAGGGATAGGCATACATGCAGGTAAAACACTCAAACACATACATGTAAAAATTTTTTTAATCAAAATCATGACCCCAATGATTCAAAGATTCTCTACCAGTAATACCTCCATTTCTTTTGTTTGTTGGTTGATTTGTGTTTTTAAATAGAATTTTACCCATTTTGGTCTAGATCTCATAGCCATCCT